CTTCGCCGATTCCTATCTAACAACTTATTTTAATATTGAATCAATGAATGTCGGTTCTTCACGCCCCTGGGCAGGGTAAGGGCCTTATGCTGCTCTACGGTTTTTAACAGGGTTTCCAAACGGAGTGGGGATATGGACTTAGAGTAAGGGCAATAACAATTTAGGGTTTCCGAGGGTTTGGGTTAAGCGCAACAAAGGGTGAGCAAGGTCATGACGGTTGCGAATTTGCTCTTAAGGTAATTAAGGATTCGGGGTGGGAGTTTTCAACAAATAGGGGTATCAAGATGCTGGGGTTTCAGGGCGGATGATATTTTAAATTGGGGTGGTGGGGTCGCAAGGTGTCGCGATATACTTACCTTGCACCCAAGGATTCGACTAATGGTGTCGTTCCTTCGCTACTTTAGTAGGTGTCCTAGTTCTCCTTCCTGTTTGTTGTAGCCGCAACCCGGGTTTGCCGAGATAAGGCAACTTGTCGTTGGAACCATTTTGGTTTACCCGTTTGATGAGCATGCTAGTTTGATGTTGTTATCCTAGTATGTACGGTTTGTTCCTTCTTGATTGTGGGTTGACAACTCGTGTTGTCAATCATTTGATGTTGAATTGTAGTCCTTGATTGTTGAGTATTATCTCATGACTTCGTTCAAATCTATTGATTGATTCATATGGTGTATTCTTGTACAAATCGGTGTACCCTTTGTTGATGCTTGATTGAGGTTATCGATGAGCCTCAATCCTCTTGATGATAATGACTATGTGTGACTATGAATGAGATTGGTGGTTTTGTGACTTGAGCTTTGCTCACATGAGATCGGTAGTATATGACTATGAATTGAATAGTACCCTCGTGTACTTGAGATCGGTGGTATTCTGATTGGTGGTGTAGATTGGTGGGGGACGACGGTCCCAAACCGGGTAAAGGTTGGACTCAGAAGTACAGACTCGGAGGTACAGGTTGGAACTGTGATAAGGCCGGGGGTAGCCATAAGGGTGGTACTAAGGGATAAGGTTGGAACTTGAAACATGAATGTGTCATTATGTGATTTGTTGTACTTCCTTGCTTATGCATGTCTTGATGTACTCTACCTTGTGAATGGTAGGTTACATCCTAAGTTGTGTTGTCTATGATGTTTGTGGTCTTATTGTCGTGTTGAGGTTGATGATCCTCGTTCTTGTTGAGAGCGTGATGAGTCTTTGATGTTGAAATCCTTCCTTGGTTTTAAAATGATATATATTGTATTCCTCAGTTCTAAATGGATTTGATTATATCTATCTATACTATGCTATTTAACGCGTATTGATGGGTTACCAGCATTATTCGCTGACCGGGCGTTATCCCTTGATTTTACAGGTTTTGCTTAGCTATGGAGCACGCTAGCCGTTGTTAGTAGCTAGTGTAGTTTTCCCCAATCGTTATTCCATGGAACCGTGTTCACCATGAATGGTGAACACGGTTCCAATGGTGTTAGTACACCGTTATCTTTTTTTTTTTTTTTCATAATTAATTGCGTGACTTTTCTTCATTTTCACATTTCGCGGTTTCACTTTAATTTGAGGTGAGCAATGATTTCGGACATTCATAAATTATGAATTCATGCCTGCACATTCACTTTGGAACCATGCCTACACATTCCCGTCCGAAATCACGGACATTCATAAATTATGAATCCATGCCTGCACATTCACTTTGGAACCATGCCTACACATTCACTTTGGAACCATGAGATTATGAATTTTCTGTTATAAGATTATGAATTTTCTGTTATAAGATTATGAATTTTCAGTTATGAGATTATGAATTTTCTGTTATGAGATTATGAATTTTCTGTTATGAGATTATGAATTTTCTTTTATGAAATTATTAATTTTCTGTTATGAGATTATGAATCTACATTACATTCATAATCTCATAACAAAAAATTCATAATCTCATAACAGAAAATTCATAATTTAATAAATATTTTACTTTTATGCGATTATGAATTTTCTGTTATGAGATTATGAATTTTGTTATGAGATTATAAATTTTCATTACATTCATAATCTCATAACAAAAAATTCATAATTTGATCAAACGTGCACCGTTAACTCCACATCCGCGATTTTTCTTTTTATTTTTATTTTTTTTTTTTTGCATAAAAACGACGTCGTTTGGACTTGTGTTCACCATTCACGGTGAACACGTTTCCATGGCATAATTTGCGAGTTTTCCCCTTCCCTAAACTATTATGTTTTGGGCCTGTGAGCCTTAGTTTAAGACATGGCCTGTGTGCCTTAGACTTGATATTGTTTTGATAAATAGCTGTAGACTTAGCCTGTGCACCCATGGTTTATGGGTGTAGCATAACGCTTCCCAGTTTTTAATTAGCTTCCGCTTTTGATTACTTGGTGATTAGATGTTTATTGTTGAATTTAAGTTTTTTAAAATGTGGTAAAATCGGGGGTGTTACAACCCTGCTCATTGCTTTACGGGTAAGTTTCTTCGTCGACTTGCTGACTGAGTGAGAGGTAACTTATGATGTAAGTATGCCTGATTCCAATTTAAATGTGCCTGACTCCAGTTCTGCGACTGACCGCATACTTTGGTTGCCATTTCTCCTCCAGCTTCAACTTTTGGTTATGACTTTCTTTCTCATGGACTCCTCATTCTGGTTCAAATAATCACTGTGTCCAAGTCTGCGTCATTGGCGCCGTCTTCTAATTCACCTTTATCCTTATCACCAAGTCTGATCGCCTCACTCGCCACTTGTCTTTTTCTTAATTTCTCCCACTCTGCTGGATGTGCCCGTGATTTCTAGCTTTGGCATGTTCCGTGCAAAAACATATTCAGAAGGAAAAAATTCTTCGTGTATACAGAGGCATGGCTTACTGCTTTATCAATGTCTCTGGTGATTCACCATCTGATTGCTCTCTTGCCAGGTTACTCTTATTTTCGCAGGATGGCCCACCCATCTTTTAGGATAGTCCTTCATCCATCTTTTCTTTGCTTCGAGGTGTTCAAACAGTCTGTACAGAGGTATTTGCAATGATAAAAGATAAGGGGAGTAGTATTTTTCATACCCGAGAATCGCTGGAATTGGGGGTCAAGTCGGACGTTAGAATGGCGTCATCATCACGGCGCGCTAGCAATTTCTCCTGTCGACTGTGCAGCCGGCAACTTTATACAATCGACTGTCTGGTGGATATGGCTAAGATTAACGGCACATTGCAGCATTGATGTTGAAGCGGAGCCGATTCATTGTTTCCCTCTCTTCTTGGGGATGTCAGAATGGATCGAGCATCATTAGAAAGGGGTTGACCTTGTTAGAATCCCCTCTGTCACAGGTGCTATTACCTTGGCCAACCATGGTTGCTCCGTCGGTGACAGTTTACGATCTCTTAGCCGTCCTATTCTGTCATTCCGTGCGACGAGTCAGAGTCCATCGCCTGAATGCCGATTGAGCACCAACGAGTCCCTTAGTCATCATACCCTGTTATTCCATGCGCTAAATCGCCTGGTTACGTGGGGAACCTACTTGACGAATCAGTCTTGGATAAGCCCGCTGGTTTTGGAGTCCAGCGGCGATTTGGTAGAGACTTCAGGCGACTAAGAAGCAAGTGGTCGGCAAAGGGGATGTCGACGCGAGACTGAACTTAACAAATCGTGTAGTGCATGAACTTACGTGGACTCAGCGGACTCAGCGAGATAACCATGAACGCTTTCATTCCTTTAATACTTCCTTCTCGGTTCGACAGTTGTCTGGTGGTTTAACCGGCGAAGGTGCCGGGCTTGTGGGCGTGTTCAACGGCGATTGCTAAAGCTTGTTTTGCCAGAGTCAGAGTCGGAATCGCCTTCATTCTTTCATCTTTCATCGTCGGGTCCGAGTTCAAGTGTCGGAGTCGGCCCCGTCGCTTATCTTAGAGTGTTTCGTATTAATACTCTCACTTTCTTAATCAAGGAAGGGGTCGTCCTCAGTATCAGAATCGGGTCGGTTGTCCGAGTCCGCCGCCCTCAGTCAGTCTTCTTTCCGTCATTCGCTCATAGCAACTTCCTGCTTTTCGCTTTCCTTTTAAATCTATAATTGTGCTGAGACGAACCAAAGTTCCTTCTTGACAAAATCAATTTGTTCATTGCCCACCTCATGGGTCCTATGAGATAAAAAGGCGGTCATTCCAGAAATTTACTCATCTATCATATCTCCTCCTCATCTCCACCGTTTTCAACCCTGCATTCGACTTCCCATTTGTACTTTACCATTCTCCCCTCCATTGATAGTCACGTGTACTCATACATATTTATGTACGCATGTATTGTATACACAGGCAACGCCCTGAGCAATAGAGATTTTTATTTCTACGCTACGATGGTTATAACTTGCAGGACCTGGAAATCAGTCGCCGCACCGGAGCTCGGTAATAGTAGCTATGGCCGTGATCTTCGCTGGTGGTCGGAGTAGCCGGAACCATCATTATTTTGTGCTTCTCCTTCTTTTTCATTTTTATCCCACTATCTGATGAAGCATAACACACCTAATGATCTAGCCAAGTGATTCATCTACTCTCTGTTTCTTCCTACTGTAATAAGCCTTGAGGGCTTTTTTGTCTTTTCACTCTAGAGTTAGTTATAACCGCTTTTCTTATCTGTTGTTCTCTTTTCTCTTTGTATAAAGCCTGTGGCTTGGCTAGCTTGTAAGGTTGAGACTCACAATATACTGAATAACATACTGCTTCCATTCTTACACCAAGATGAAGTTCTCAAACCCTAGCAACCATGCAACACTGTTTTGATCATGGTATGAGAGCAGAGAAGAAGCAACGCTGCTGTAACAATGGCGCAAAATGTAGCAGGAGGAGATGATCGTGGTAATCAGCCAGCCGGATCATTGAATCAAAACCAGTTGAATCAACACAGTGTTGAATTCGATGATCCTTACTATTTACATATCACAGAAAATCCAAACACCATCCTAGTTTCTCCAATTTTGAGTGAGACTAACTATCCTTCCTAGAATCGAGCTATGAAAATGGCGTTAGAAGTAAAAAACAAATATGATTTTGTTAGTGGAGCCATTCCAAGTCCTAATGAGGGAGATCCAAGGCATGCAGCATGGAGGAGATGCAACCGCATCGTATGCTCTTGGATCCTGAGATCTGTCAGTCCAGCCATAGCTGAAAGCGTCATGTACTTTGACAAAGCTTCGGAAATATGGAGTGCACTCAATCGAAGGTACTCACAAACTTATCCTCATAAGATATCTGAAGTACAAAATGAAATTTATAAGAATGTGCAGGGAAATTTATCTGTGAATGAGTATTTTACCAAGTGTAACTCTCTGTGGCAACAACTGAGCACCCTGAGGCCCTTGCCTTTGTGTGAGTGTACACCTAGATGCTCGTGTACTCTCATGGAAAAGTTGCAGAAAGAAAGAGAAGATGATTGTGTCATCAGATTTCTAGAAGGTCTGAGTGAGGAGTATGAGCCTGTTAAGTCAGGGGTCCTTGTCATGGATCCTATGCCAGATGTGGGAAAAGTGTTCAATATGGCTTTGAAGCTAGAAAGGAAAATCAGGGGAATCATTAGTGGCCTAATTCAAGCTAATGCAGCTCAAAACAGTGGTCAAACACAAGCTATATATGAGCAAAATGTTGTGGCTTACTCATCATCAAACAATAAGAAAAAATTCAGCAGTAATGGAGCAAAAAATGTGCCTAAGTGCACATTCCGTGGTATGTTAGGACATACTATTGAGAAGTGCTACAAAAAGAATGGCTATCCACCAGGGTGGATTCCAGGTTATAAGACTAAGTTCAAAAGCAATCAGGATGGACAACATTCCATGAATACCTCTGTGAATCACGTTGGAGATACAGGCCTATCTGATGATCAGTTTCAAAGGCTGGTGGTCCTTCTTCAAAATCAGAATAAAGCCAATCAGACACCTTCCATTGCTGCTGTTGCTCTCACTAACTATGGACTCATAGCAGATTTTAAAGAGCTTGCTGAGAATCATAATGAAGGTAACCTATACATCAATGTTTTTCAGAATTCCCTTAATGTGTGGATACTAGATTCTGGTGCCACAGATCACATTACATGTTCATTAGAATATCTTGAAAGCAGTTATCAAGTCTCTGGAATCTCTGTTAAAATGCCTAATGGAAAAACTGCTGAAGTCACTCATATAGGGAAGGTGAAATTGGATAACAATATCTTATTGCAGAATGTGCTATGCATCCCAACTTTTGCTTTCAATATAGTATCTGCAAGTAAACTAACCAAACAGGCAGAATGTAGAGTCATTATAAGACCTGATTATTGTGATATACAGGGACCTATTGGAAGAGTGGATGGTTTTGCTAAGGAAGAGGAAGGACTCTACTTGATTGCTAGACCCCCTGTCAGATTGAGAAAACAGGTGCCTGATAAGGGAGTGAGATCACATTGTAATAGCATTAGCATTGATGTATGGCATGAAAGACTACGACATTATCCTGTTAATAAGATCCCCTTCTTGAAAGGAATAAACATTACTCTTCCTGCTAGAACTGTTGACATGGTTTGTGAGATTTGTCATTTTGCCAAGCATAAAAGGTTAATTTTTCCTGTTAGCAATTCCAGAGCTCAGAAATCTTTTGATTTATTGCATATGGATGTGTGGGGTCCATTAGCTGATGCTTCACTAAAGGGTGAACACTATTTTTTAAACATAGTTGATGATTTCAGTAGGTTTACCTAGTTGCACCTAATGAAGAATAAGTCAGAAGTTAAGGGAATTTTCCAAAACTTCTGTAATTATGTCCAAAATCAGTTTTCTGGAAGTATTAAGGCTATTAGGACAGATAATGGTACTGAATTCATAATGCCTACTCTCCTTAATGAGAAAGGAATCATCCATCAGAAGTCATGTGTGTACACTCCCCAACAGAATGGGATAGCAGAAAGGAAACACCAACATGTGTTGAATGTAGCTAGGGCACTAAGATTCCAATCTGGTTTGCCTACAAAGTTTTGGGGTCACTGTGTGTTACATGCCATATACCTCATAAATAGACTCCCAACTGAAGTCCTTGATGGAAAAATTCCCTTTGAGTTAATGACTGGAAAGCCTGTTGATTACAGTCAACTCAGATCATTTGGTTGTCTTTGTTTTGGTGCCACACTGCCACATGAAAGGACTAAGTTTCAACCAAGGGCAAGAAAATGCATATTTCTGGGATATCCAGCTCACACAAAAGGTTACATTCTATATGATATAGCTGATAATTCTGTTTTGGTGTCTAGGGATGTTAAATTTCATTAGCACATTTATCCCTTCAAAGAGGCAGCCTCTGCAAAGCCAGAATCCACAAAAGATGTGATGTTCAATCCTTCACTGCCCCTGGTTCCCACATGTATAGACAATGAGTATCCTCTTTTGAGGCCTGAATTAGATGGCCATATCAGTAACCAAAGTGATGAAAGCAATGAAGACATCACAATTGCTGTTGATTGGGAAAATGAGGTGACCAATGAGACAGGAGTTGATCTTAATGCCTATACTATAGCTGATCAGCAGTGTGATGCTGAAACATTAGATGATCATAGCTCATCAAGCCATAATGACAGTAAATGCCTCAGGAGATCAACAAGAACAAAAAGTGCACCTCTCAAATTACATGACTACTACTGTCAACACCTGTTTACTGATTGCTCAGGAAAAAGGACATCTCCATATCCTATTCACAAATACACCAGTTTTGATCCCTCTTTGTCTAGAGTTTTTACTGTCTCAAATCCATCTGAACCTCAGTCCTACAATGAAGCTATTAAAAAAGATGAATGGAAGAAGGCCATGAAGTCTGAAATTGAAGCCCTTGTCCAAAATAATACTTGGATACTAACAGACTTGCCTGATGGAAAAATGCCTATTGGATGCAGATGGATTTACAAAATCAAGTATAAAGCATATGGATCTATTGAGAGGTATAAAGCTAGACTGGTGGCAAAAGGATATACTCAACAAATGGGGGTAGATTACACTGAAACCTTCTCTCCTGTGGCAAGAATGACAACCATAAGAACCTTCTTGGCAGTGGTTGTGGCTATGAATTGGGAAATCCAGCAGCTTGACATCAATAATGCTTTCCTGCATGGGGATTTGCAGGAAGAAGTTTACATGGTCCTTCCACCAGGCTTTGTGAGTGATAGACCTAATCAGGTATGCAAGTTGCTTAGATCGCTATATGGTCTCAAGCAGGCCAGCAGACAGTGGAATGCAAAACTCACTCATGCCCTTGTGACTGATGGCTTTTGTCAGTCTACTGCTGATCCTTCCTTGTTCACAAAAAGGTCAGGTACATCTTTCACAGCATTGTTAGTATATGTGGATGATATCTTGATAGCTGGTACAGATTCAACACAGATCACAAAGCTGAAACAATTCCTGGATCTTTCCTTCAAAATAAAAGATCTTGGCCAACTTCAATACTTTCTGGGAATTGAAGCTACTAGAAGTTCTAAAGGCATTAATCTGTGTCAAAGAAAATACACTCTGGACATTTTGAAGGAGAATGGATTTCTAGAAGCTAAGCCTGCCAAGACCCCTTTCACTACAGGCCAAAGATTGAACACTACTGATGGGAAGCCAATTGCTAATCCTGAGCATTATAGAAGACTTGTTGGGAAACTTCTATATCTGACTAACACTAGACCAGACATATCTTATGTTGTACAACAACTGAGCCAGCTTGTGGATAAACCTAGTGACATCCATCTCATGGCTGCACACAGGGTGCTCAGATTCTTAAAAGGATCACCTGGCAGAGGCTTATTCTATGCTGCAAATTCATCTGTTAAACTGCAAGGATTCTCAGACTCAGATTGGGGGACTTGTACTGAATCTAGAAAATCCATCACTGGATATTGCATCTTTCTAGGGAACTCTCTAATTTCCTGGAAAACAAAAAAACAAGCAACTGTGTCTAGATCATCCTCTGAGGCTGAATATACCCCCTTGGCTACTACCACTTGTGAGATCCAGTGGCTTACTTACCTTCTCAAAGATTTGCAGGTTCACATTGATGACCCTACCATTTTGTATTGTGATAACAAATCAGCAATTGCTATTGGAGAAAATCATGTCTTCCATGAGCGTACTAAGCATATTGATATTGATTGCCATGTGGTGAGGCATAAAGTTCAAGAAGGGCTGATCAGACTCCTTGCCATCCCTAGCAACAAGCAACTTGCAGACAGCTTCACTAAGGGGCTGTCAAAACCTCTATTTGATGATTGTCAATTTAAGCTAGGCATGCAGGACCTCCATGCTCCACCTTATGGGGGGAGGGGGGGTGATGAAGCATAACACACCTAATGAGCTAGCCAAGTGATTCATCTACTCTCTGTTTCTTCCTGCTGTAATAAGCCTTGAGGGCTTTTTTGTCTTTTCACTCTAGAGTTAGTTATAACTGCTTTTCTTATCTGTTGTTCTCTTTTCTCTTTGTATAAAGCCTGTGGCTTGGCTAGCTTGTAAGGTTGAGACTCACCATATACTGAATAACATACTGCTTCCATTCTTACACCAAGATGAAGCTCTCAAACCCTAGCAACCATGCAACACTGTTTTGATCACTATCTTAACTATGCAGACTCCCACCTTTGGAATTCTACTGCCGTGCTCGTTCTTTCCTAGTAGTGAACCATTCCACCAACTGCTTCTCTTTGCGTTACCCGAATTGCAAGTATTTTCATCATTATACAGAGTAAGGGAAACCGCTTATTCAACGCTACACTATCACTCGCCTTCTATAAGCGGACTCGGCAGGTCTGTAGGCTTGGTGAAACAACTATGAACGCTTCATAAGGGAAAAGAGCGAGGTGGTCCCTGAAGTCACGAGTAGAGAACTGGGCTTTTGCTGATTTCGCGAGGTCCTTCTTATCAAATGGCATCAAGAATGGGTCTTCGTAAACTCAATTAAGCCAGCAGCAATAGTCGTTATAGGGTCAAGGTAGTTAGAAATTGAACCTCCCATCCCAGTTGTAACCTGTTATTTGTAGACATAAAGACTGAAGTGATGTTATCAAAGACTTGCATGGTGGCCGAGTTCCTCAGTCGTCAGTATGTTTCTGTAATCTCCATCTGTTCAGGTGTCAAAGCAGCAGGTTGATCGGGAGGAACAGGAGAGATTGTCAACATGCTTTGTTGATTAACCTTCTGTGTTTAGTCCGCCGTTACCGACTCTTTTTGTGGACTGTAGAGTGTATGCAGGAGCGCGATCGACCGGTTTCGAAGACTCCTCACCGACTTTGATGAACCACTCGACCTCGTGACCTTTCTGCAATATTTCTATACGGAGACGCACGGATCAATACTCGCCATTATGGAGCGGAAACGGCAATACGACAGGAACTATTCCTGTTTTTTTTTTATTCGATGCCCGCCGGCTTTGGAACCGGATGGCGACTTTTGCGTGGGTCAAGCTAGAGCACCGAAGCCAGCCGGTTTTCCCTTTCCGACTTTACGTCGCGTTCATCGTAGAAATGGCTCAGTTTTCACTCTCTGTACGTAGGCACCAAGGAGTGGACGATGTCAGACTCCGTCGTAGTCAATTAGTCCAATCGAACACCCCGGCCTAGTGGATCGGACTCGGCAAATTTGGCGAACTCGGCGATCCTGGTTTGGCTGTCGACAGTGGTACAGCTGGTTTAGAAGTTGTGTGGGAGTAGACGGATTTGTCGTCTTAGAAACCCGGCATAACGGATGGCTTCGTTGTACATAGAGGCATTGTTCGTTTTGGTTCCATAATTCAAACTTTCATGTGTTTGTCTAAAAAAACACTTCTTATATACTGCCATATTTGATTGCCGCATGGAATTTCACGATTTTCCCCATACATCTACTACCAGACACATAATGGTGCAATTTTCCTTATAAAAAGGTTCCATGCTTGCTTGTTGTAGGGATTGCCACGTGTAATAGATAGGTACTTTCCATATGCCACATGTGTAGAAATTAGGAATTTTGTAGGAAATTCCTTTTCCCTCTTTACGCACAGTATATATCCATTTTCCATATTCCATGTGGACAAATATGGCAATTGTGCAGAAACTTTTCTTTTCATTTGATTTTGGCCGACCATATCTCTATGGACGACGGTCTCGGATTTTCTTGCGATTGATTTGAGTTGAGTCGGTGGGCTCAATTTTCTTGCTGTGATGGTATTAGAATGTGTATACTGGATTGTCTCCTTACAACATACTGCTTGTCTGGCTCAATATAAACAAAGCATTTCGCATAATGAAGAGAAAAACGAAGAAAACCATTGTGACCACGGTGTCTACCGTTAAAGTCATGGTGGGTGGAACTGCTTACTCAGCATCCCTCGTCCTTTACCTCGTCACCGGCCGTATTTCTACGGCCGACTTTTCAACCTTCTCGGCCAAGTCCCTCAGTGTGGTGGACTGACTAGTCTCTTGCTAACAACTATTGAGTACTTTAAATTTGAATATTGCATCTAATTTATATAACTAACAAGGGTTACCTCTTTTGGACGCAACATGCAGCCTACTTTGCTTGATTCTCGTTCTGTCATTTTCTTGGTCTACTGCTTTCCGCGAACCTTCTCAACCTTCCGTCCGTAGTGAATTCTCTCCACCGAACGCTTTCTGAATTCGCTGAGACAAAGAGGTAAACGCGACCTTTTGTCACGTCCCCACAAACGACCCCAGTATTGGTTTTAGGATTTTTTGGGCCCAGGGAGGTCCAACACAATCGTGGTCGGTGGATTCACCTTTCAAAATAAAGTCTCAACCTTCCGTCCGTAGTGAATTCTCTCCACCGAACGCTTTCTGAATTCGCTGAGACAAAGAGGTAAACGCGACCTTTTGTCAAGTCCCCACAAACGGCCCCAGTATTGGTTTTAGGATTTTTTGGGCCCAGGGAAGTCCAACACAATCGTGGTCGGTGGATTCACCTTTCAAAATAAAGCTACTAAAATAGAAGAATAATGGCTCAATGATTTTTACGAAGAAACCGTAAGGTGAAAACCACGGGCCTTTTTGGGCGGTGCCAAGCCTAAATTGACTATTATGTAGGATTGTTTGTACAAGTTGTATGGTTATTTTGTATATGTTGTAGTGTAAGAATAAAGCTACTTTGTACATTGAGAGGGAATAATCTTCTTGATCTTCTTTGTTGAAAGAGTGTGGATGATGAGGTCTTCTTGTTGAGAGGAATGATGGTGGAGTCTTCTCCCCTTGAAAGAGTGATTAGTCTTCTCATGTGTGTAGGTGAATGGAGTCTTCTTGGGAGAGTGGTGTAGGAAGAGTTCTTGAGAGAGTGAATGTGGAAGAGTCCCCCCTTGTGAGGGTGGATGAATGAGATGCCCCCCTCCTCTTGTGCTCTTCTTCCCCTTCTTATAGCTAGCATAGGCTTCAAGATTATAGCCGTTAGGGGGTAATTAGTAGGCTTTATGAGTGATAATGATGGATTAATCGGGTAGTCAGTAGGAGTTTATGTGGGGGTTATGGATAATAATAATAGTTGGGTAATAAATGTGAATTTAATTGGTAGTGATGGGGTTGTAATGAGGACTACGGCCACTTGGCCTTGTGGGTGAGTAGGGTAACCATATTGATGGGGTGGGGACCCCGGCCCAAAGAGACGGGCCCAAAGAACAAAGTATAAGTAGTCCAAGATAAGAAGTACGGGTTAGTGAGAGAAGAAGCCCAGTGGTGGCCTGGGCCGAGTCCAGGAGTCGGCCCAGGCCCAAGTGGGGAAGATGACTCGGCCCAGGAGTTGGTAAGAAGCATTAAAGTCGGTCTAAGAGCCGTTAGGGAGCAGTCAATACGGCATTCAAGAGAGCTCGACCAAACGAACCGTTGGAGGTCCAAAGAGCCGTTGACCGGCTCGGTAACGGCGCCCGAACGGTCGTAAAGCATAATTAGCCTTGAAGGCGATAGTTAATGTACTTCAATTCGGCTGGAGAGGAGCCTACTATATAAAGGCCCCTCCACCCTTGTAATCCAGGCGAGTCCATGCCCAGTAAGAAAAGACACACGTTTCCGAATACTCTTTCAACTATTCTTTCATTTTCTTAGAAGCTTTGTGAAAGGTGAATCCACCGACCAAGGTTGTGTTGGACCTCACTGGGTCCAAAAACCCTAAAACCAACACTGGCACCGTCTATGGGGATCGGTACAAAGAGCTACGTGACTTTCTGAGTGAGGCAAGTCCGCAAGTCGACCGAAATAACAGCACAGCATGTCAGAAGGACGAGACCAAACAAATAACCACGATAATGGAGCGGAAGCAGATTTGAGAGAGCAGTTAAACCAACGAAACGCCCAAAGTCAGGAAAACGAAATAGCACCGGTAAACCGGCAGCCGCCTATGATACCCCTCACCACGAAGCAACTCCACGCGATCTGGCGAGCCTTCGCTGACGCAAGTTGAGGAGTAAGGGAGCAGTCTGTCTCTCGACCGATGCCTCGCCATCACCAACCTTCCCAGAGGCCGGAAGACAGACGAGAGAATCGGCGGACGGAGAGTCAACCAGTACGATCGGTCCATTCGAGGCTAGGCCCGAACGCCGGACGACAATCTGCAAGAGAACGACTAGGGGAGAGGGAGCCCAGCCGCGCACCACCGGGCCCCCGAGATCGAGAAGCCGGTCGCGAAAGAACTCGCACCAGGAGAACCAGGACTCAGGCACGTCGAACCGAGCGTATTGCGTGCAATGTCGACCGACCAGTTGAATCGGAAGTCGGCGAGAGTACCGAATCCACAGGAAACCATACTCGCAATAGAGGCGATGTGGCCCAATTGGCCCGAGAGGTGCGAGATCTGAAGGAGCAAATAGAGGGAAGGACTAAATCCCCTGGGCAAACGTTGCTCACCGCTTTGCCATTCTCCTCCGAGATCATGTCTTACAAAGTGCCCGACGACTTCAAATTCCCGGAGCAGGCCACCTTCGACGGATCCAGCGATCCACGCGAGCATCTGCTAAGTTATCAGGCCAAGATGCAGGTCTTAGGAGTTCAAGACCCGGTAATGTGTCGCGCCTTCTTTCCCACGCTAAAAGGCTCGGCACAAAGGTGGTTGGTGGCGCTGCCTCCAGGATCGATTCACAATTTCGAGGAGCTGGCCGATCGCTTCATGAGTCATTATGCAGCCAAGATCAAACCACAAAAGGATCTGACTCATCTGGGAGACGTCCACCAAGAGGAAGGTGAGTCCTTGAAAACCTACTTGGTTCGCTGGCAAAAAGAAATCCAGTCTATCGAGGAGGTCGAAGACTAGACCGCACTCACTTTCTTCATCGAGTCCTTGCGATCCGGGCAATTATGCCGGGATCTGCGGGATAACCGCCCGGCCACCTACGCGGAAGCCATACACATGGCTAATAAGAGGGCTAACATAGAGCAGGCCATGAAGCATAAACGACAGCGTGAAGTCGGAGGATCCGCTGGCGGAAAGAGAACCCGCGCGGAAACCAAGGAAAGGCATCCGGAAGGGGCTCGGCGGCCCGAAGCTAGGCGTCCCTATGCCAAACCTATCATTAATCCCTATAGACCGGCCCCTCAACAACCGGTACACGAGGTACAAGAGGTCGCTCCACCTCCATCCCTGCCGACTGACGTCCGCGTGACGAACGAGGAGACAGGTAAGATCTCTAAGTACTGCCGTTATCATAAATCTTACACTCACAGCACGGAAGAGTGCTTTTACTTGAAGAAGATCATGGAAGGAATCATCCAACAAGGGACCCCGCCTCCTAATAAATGGAGGAGAAGGTCAGTGGCCCGGGAAGACGATGACCCCACGGTCGCCGCTGAAAGCAGTCGCGGAAAGCTACCAGCGACTCGGCGAATACTAGGAAGGCCTGGGCTCGGCAGCTGTATGTCGGGATGGTATACGGGCGCGAAGAAGGCTCGAAGAAAATGTGCCGGGAGCCCATCACGTTCACTGACAAAGACCTACCCACAGGGGAGACACCACATCGTGATGCCCCGGTCATAGCAATGGATGTGAATGGGGTGGTCGTTCGACGAATCCTGGTTGACACCGGGAGCAGCATCAACGTACTGTACGTCTGTACCTTGAGACATTCACCAAAATGGGACTGACCCGAGAACGGTTGAACCAAGTCAAGACGCCACTCGCCAGCTTCACAGGCGACTGGGTAGAGGCAGGAGGATCTATTACCCTGCCGGTGGAGATTGGTAGCTACCCAGACGTACAGAAGCTCAATATGAAATTCATCGTGGTAGACCTAGCCTACTCACATAATGCCATACTCGGCCGACCAGGCCTGGAGGATTTGGGAGCACTAATCTCTATTGAGCACCTCTGCCTGATGTTTCGCACGCCAAGCGGGGTAGGCGTGGTTCGCTGCGACAGAAGAGTCGCCCGGGATTGCTACATACAAGCTTGAAAAGGAATGGGTAAACGTGAGATGCAAGTCCATGAAATCACAGAAAGACCCCCAAAGAAAGCAATGATACCCTGCCCGGAGCCGGCCGTCGAGTTAGAGGAGGTCGAGATCGACCCAGAGCGACCGGACCGGCGGGTCCGGATTGGGGTTGGTCTCCCAGAAGAAATACAAGAGGAAGTCATCAGGGTGCTTCGAGAGCACCGGTTGGTCTTCTATTGGGGCCTGGAAGACATGCCGGGTGTCGACCGATCCATCATCGCCCACCGACTCGCCGTAGAACTGGATCACCGGCCGGTCATACAGAAGAAGCGCTACTTGGCAAACGACAGAAGGGAATTTGTGAAAAAAGAGGTGAGCACGTTGTTGGCTACGGACCATATCCACGAGGTCAAATACCCAGAGTGGTTGGCAAACGTAGTTCTCATACCAAAACCTCCAGCTTTGCGAATGTGTGTGGATTATACCGACCTTAACAAGGCCTGCCCGAAGGATCCATTCCCCTTACCCCGGATTGATCAGTTGGTCGACGAGACCGCCAGATCGGCGTTGCTGAGCTTTATGGACACCTTCAGGGGGTATCATCAGATCTTCATGCACTCGGCTGACGAGGAAAAGACCGCGTTCTAACGCCGGACGGAGTGTACTGTTACCGAGTTATGCCCTTCGAGCTTAAGAATGCAGGGGCTACTTACACTCGGATGATCGCTCGACTGTTCCAAGACCTGTTGGGGAAATCCATGGCGGCCTACGTAGACGACATGCTGGTCAAGAGCCAGGAGGAGACAAAGCACGCGAAGGATTTGTCCGACTGCTTCCAGGTGATGCTAAGGTATAATATCCGATTAAACCCAAAAAAGTGTGTCTTCGCAGTGCAAGGAGGGAAGTTCTTGGGGTATATGGTGACCAAGAGAGGCATTGAGCCCAACCCTGAGAAGGTTCAAGCTATCATCGACATGCAGCCTCCCAGTACCGTTAAAGACTTGCAACGGCTGACTGGTCGACTGGCTGCCCTTAGTCGCTTCTTAAGCAATGCGGCGGATAAGACCATACCATTCTTCGAAGCCATGAAGAAAAAACAAGGCTTTGCTTGGACGGCCGAATGCCAACTGTCGTTCGAAGAGCTGAAGCAATATCTCTCCACACCGCCGATGTTATCCACCCCTCAGGTGGGGGAGCCCTTGTTCCTATACCTGGCTGCCTCCCCCAGAGCAGTAAGTTCAGTACTCGTCCGAGAAGAAGAGCGCACCTAGCATCCGGTATATTACGTGAGCCGCTCCTTGAAGGTCGCCGAGGCGCGATACATGGCCTTGGAGAAGATCGTCTACGCGTTGGTGATTACTGTACGCAAGTTGGCGCCTTATTTTCAAGCCCATACCGTCCGGGTCCTGACAGATCAGCCCCTGGGGAGTGTATTGCGAAACCCAACGTCGTTAGGACGATTGGTAAAATGGGCCATGGAATTGACCCAATATGGGATCGAGTATCAACCACGCCCGTCCATTAAGGGGCAAGCCTTAGCCGACTTCTTGGTCGAATGCACCGCAGGGGAGGATGATAAAGAGGGCACCACGGAAGATAATCCAGGCGAATGGTGGGAGATGCACGCGGACGGAGCAGCGAGTCGACAACATTGTGGAGGCAGAGTCATGCTAATTACCCCGGAAGGGTTCCGGCTTTACTATGCCTTAAGCTACTTGTTTCCAACGTCCAATAACGAAGCCGGGTACGAGGCTGTGTTGGGCGGTCTACGACTCGCCAAAACGCTAGGGGTGGAACGTCTGCGAATCAAAACCGACTCTCGGCTAGTGGTTGGACAGGTTTCAGGCACCTGCGAAGCTAAGAACGCTCGGATGGCCCAGTATAAGGAGAAGGCGATAGAGATGCTAAGAGGATTCGGGATGTATGAAATTGAATACATTCCGCGAGCAGACAACACTGAGGCTGACATATTGTCGAAAATTGCCCTGGAGGGGGTACCAGATCACCTTGTCAAGATTTGCCAAAAAGAGGAGTTAAATCAACCAAGTACAGAGGACACGACGTTAGAAGTCCAGCAGGTAGACGTCGAAGAGTGGGATCGAGAGAAAAATCTCGAGATGTTCTGGATTGACGACATCCGGCGATATAAGGAAACGGGGAAGTTGCCAGAAGACTCAGGAGTCGCAGCGAGGGTTCGACGAAAGGCCCCCTCGTTCGAAATCATTGACGAACAAATATACAAGCGATCATTTGGAGGCCCCCTCTTGAAATGCCTACTTAGGCCCGAGGCGGAGAAAATAATGGACGAAGCCCATCACAGAATCTGTGCCGCCCACCAGGGCGCCCACACCCTTGCCCGGAAGCTGGTCGTCCAGGGATACTATTGGCCGACTATGATGCGAGATTGCGTTGAGTGGATATCTAAGTGCGGCATTTGCCAAGCCTTCGCCCGGAAGGATACCCGGCCGGCCACCTTCTACACGCCGGTCACCACGGTCATCCCGTTCGCTAAATGGGGAATCGATTTGCTGGGTCCACTACCGGTCGCCCCTGGCGTCTGAAATTCTGCGTCGTGGCCATCGATTACTTCACCAAATGGGTCGAGGCCGAGCCACTGGCCACCATCACCGAATACCAGTGTCGACGCTTCCTGTGGAAGAAGGTGATTTGCCGTTTCGGCCTGCCTGAGCACGTGGTTAGCGATAACGGCCGACAGTTTGACTGTCAAGCCTTCGCCGACTTCTGTTGCCGGCACAGCATACGACACACCAAGGTGTCCGTCGCATACCCGCAGGCCAATGGACAAGTCAAAAACGTAAACCGAACCATAGTGGTCGGAATCCATAAGAAGTTGGAGGATATTGGGGGAAATTGGGCGGATGAGCTCGACCGGGTCCTATAGGCTTATTGAACTACGCAAAGACGGGCGACCGAAGAAAGCCCATTTTCCTTAGCATACGGCTTCGAAGCCAAGGTCCCTATAGAAGTCGTCGAACTCACCCACCGGGTCCGCGACTATTCCGACGAAGAAAATGAGGAGAGCCTGAGAATCGAAAAGAATTTCTTAGAGGAGAGAAGGGAGGCTGCATATGCCCGGATGGTAGAGTATCAGCAAGCCGTGAAGAGATATCGCGATCGGAGGATCCGCCCACGAACCTTTCAGGTCGGCGATCTCGTGCTGCGAGACCGACAGGCTAGCCAGCCTACGGAAGGGGGTAAATTCGCGATCAAGTGGGAAGGACCTTATCGCATTACAGCCGTGGTCCAAGCTGGCACCTATAAGTTGAAAACTCTGGAAGGAAAGCCCGTAGACCGGATCTGGAACGTTATTCACTTGAAGAAGTTTTACCAGTAAAGAGGTTAGCCATGTATGAAAATCCGAGTTCCCAATCTTGAATAAAAAGGCTTCGATCACCACCGATTATCATTTTTTTGAGAGAAGAGATAGGAAATAAGGGCCCAGACTGTAACACCCCCAAATTTTTAAACTTTTGAAGCTTATATAATAAAGGTAAATTCTCATAAAATTCCAAAACATAATATAAAGAGTACGGGGTGCTATGCCACACCTGAGCTAGAGAACTCAGGTGCACAGGCTAACTAACTAATATCCTCAATAATGTAAATGCATAAGCATGGCACGCAGGCCGAAAGGGAAACTATCTACTTCTACGCTCCAAGACTCTAGCACGCTCCAGTGACTACTCCTCCGTGCCTGAAAGCCAAATATATCTATTCAGCGAGAGATGCTGGTAACCCACTCCAACGCGTTGAAATACAATACATATAGATATATACATAGATATATGAAAAACCATTTCGAAGCATGAAGATATATCCTAAGAGACTCTAGCTTTAAAAACAGGGAATAGACTCGACAGATAGGGATAAGCACAGTCAACAGTCATAATCAAGCATATACACTTCACAAGCGAAGGGAACAGATTCGACAGGTAGAGATAAGCACAGCCAATAGTCACAACCAAGCATATACAGTTTACTAGCATGTATCCTATGGTCACGCTTTCATAACAATCATAACATCCAACCATCCATATCTCATCACATAGCACACTTTGTTGGCGCCACAGGACCAATCGCATGCCCATACATGAGGGTCAGCGCATATAGCTCTGACACGGCCCCGTAGCACCCTGCCCCGTATCGCAACACGGAGGGGTCGATCGCAACCGACCGATGAACCGCAGCTCATCATAATGTTTGATCGCAACCAAACAGTGGACCGCAGCCCAAGAGTAGTCATCTGACCGCAGCCAGGAATATGAACCGCAGCTCATGTAAAACGTTTGATCGCAACTAAACGGTGGACCGCAGCCCGAGAGTGTAAATCTGACCGCAGCCAGCTTCTGAACCGCAGCTCAGGAATAACCAATTCGATCGCAACCGAATTGGGGTATCATGCACACATAACACATAGCAAGCACACGCAGCCCATATTAGCACATTGGGAAGGGGGAGAAATCGTATAACGAAACCTATGCGTGGTCATCCACATGCTAAGAATAATCCTAAGGGGTTCATGCTTCCTTCACCTAGGTCAATGGGATACCAATTCAACTAACATGCAATATATAAGACTCGTTTATCCTACGAACGGCATCCGAAGCATCAACTAGACAGAGGCACGATAGACGGGGTCCGTTGGGACACCACGGGGGTCGGGGGAACATCAAACGGGGAAGCCGGAATCCCGAGGTGGGATAAATTCCAGCGGGTAGCCGGTGGGTGAGGGGTCACCCGCGGGCTGCTCGCCGGTGACGTGATTCCGGGCAGCGGGTGCCCGGCGGGCAGTCACCTGCCCGCCGGCTGCCCGCTGCCGGCGATGTCCGAACTTGGCCGTGGGTAGGTGGCGGGTCTCCTACCCCCACTTACCCCCCACTGACTCTTTTTCACAAATAACGCCCCGGGAACCTTTGTGGAACCCGAAACCATGCTTAGACACTTTTAAACGCAATTGATGACAACATGTAGACAATTAACGGATCAAAAGCGAGAAACATACGGCACATATCCTTTCATGCTTTACTATACATAATTAACACCCGATCATGCGAATTCCCACCCAATACATTAAGAATAACACCATACGAGTTTCACGTTACATCCTAGGGCTCTAATCACAATTAAATCATCAAGAATGTAACATATCTTTCAATATCAAGAAATATCAAGATTCATCAAGAACATCACACAATCATCAAGAAACCCTTATCATCATCAAGATTATCAAGACAAAAACCTATCACCAATCCTCAAGATCATATCATCAATATCATAACAATTCATCAAGACACAAGAATATAGGAGGATGCCTAAGAGAGAGATCATAGCTAGGAAAATAGGTTTTGTTGAGACATGGGTTACCTCTTAGCCTTAATTAATTCCTTGGCTATGAAGGGTCTTTCTTTAAGCTTTCTTCTTTCTTGATTTCTCCTAAGGGATTTCTTGGAACTTCTTGTGTGGTGAGAGATTATTATGGTGGGGGTTCTAGGTGCCTCTTATGTCCTCTATTTATATACCTAGGAGTCCTAATTAGGATCTAAATACTATAGGATTGCTAATTCTATTCCCTTTAGGGCTAGGGGTTGGGTTTTAGGGGTGAGGGCCCACGGACTATGGTGGGCCTTTTCCAAGTTAATTATTGTAATTTAATTCTTTCTTTGGATAATTGGTTAAATGATTAATTGGTTTTTGGGGTCGTAACACGGGGTGTTACACTCTTCCCCCCTTAACAGGAAGCTTTGTCCCCGAAGCTTGGTTCTTGCCGAGCGACTTCCTCTTGGTTACCTGGTGTGAAGAGTTCGGGGTAGCATTCCTTTATCGTGTCTTTGAGTTTCCATGTTGCTTCTTCGGTCCCATGGTTGGTCCAGAGGACTTTTACCATTTCTATGGCTCGACGACGGGTGGTTCTTGTCTTGGTGTCCAGGATTCTTACGGGTCTTTCTTCGTATGCTAGTGACTCGTCGAGGTCCACGACCTCGGGTTGTAGCACGTGGCTTGGGTCGTGCACGTATTTCTTTAGCTGGGATATGTGGAATACGTTGTGTACTCGTTCTAGTTCGATGGGTAGAGTGAGGCGGTAGGCCAGATTCCCGACTCTTTCTACGATTTCATAGGGGCCGATAAATCGAGGGCTGAGTTTTCCTTTTCTTCCAAATCTCATTACCCCGCGCGTGGGTGAGATTCTCAACCAGACCTTGTCCCCGGGGTTGAATTCGGCTTGTTTTCTCTTTAGGTCGGCGTAGGATTTCTGGCGGTCCTGGGCAGCCTTCATCCTTTCTTGGATGTGTTTGACCTTGGTTATGGTGTCTTGTAGGTATTGGGGCCCTAGTGTCACCGGGTCGACCATGTCCTCCCAACATAAGGGGGTTCTACATTTTTGTCCGTATAGGGCTTCGTAGGGTGCCATACGAATGCTTGCGTGGTAGCTGTTGTTGTACGAGAATTTAATGAGGTCTAGGTGTTCTTCCCATGTCCCTTGAAAGTCTAACACACAAGCTCTTAGCATGTCTTCGAGAGTCTGAATGGTTTTCTCGGTTTGGCCGTCAGTGGTGGGGTGGAATGCAGTGCTTAGTTTTAGTTGTGTCCCCAAGGCCGATTGCAGTGATTTCCAGAATTATGAGAGGAACCTGGAGTCTCTATCGGACACATTGTTTCGAGGAATTCCATGGTATTTCACCACTCGGTTTAGGTAGGCTTGGGCCAGTTGTGTCATCGTCCATGTTTCCTTCATGGCAATGAATCGCGCCGTTTTGGTTAGTCGGGCCACTATGACCAAAATTTTATCCTTGCCGGTTTTTGTTGGGGGTAACCCTCTGACGAAGTCCATGGATATGGAATCCCACTTTCCTTGTGGTATCTCAAGGGGTTGTACGAGTCCCTTGGGTTTGCATCGTTCGGCCTTCACCCTTTGGCAGTTCAGGCATTTGGCCACGAAATCCGCGACTTCCTTTTTCATGTTGGGCCACCAAAACGACCTCTTCACCTCTTGGTATAGTTTGTCACCCCTTGGGTGAACTGAGTATGGGGCGCTGTGTCCTTCCTCCAAGATTTGTTGTTTTAAGTGGGGATGCGTTGTGGGCACGCACCACCTACCTTGGTAGCGGAGACTGCCATATTCGTGTATTTTGAAGGGTCCTTCTTTTCCTTGGGTTAGGTCGAGGCGAATTTATCTAGTTTTGGATCCTGCTGTTGTCCTATTTTGATTTCTTCGAAGAGTGTGGGTATGATTTGTGTGTTGAATAGGTGGATCTCGGGGTGGGTTTGGTTTTGCTCTATTATTTCCAAGTTCAGCTTCTAGAAGTCTTTGTACAGCTGGTCGGGTAGGATCCAGGTGGCGTTGAGGGAGTGGTTAGTCTTCCTGCTTAGGGCGTCTGCCACAATGTTAGCTTTTCCCTCGTGGTACTGGATGTCTAGGTCGTAGTCTTTTATGAGTTCTAGCCACCTTCGTTGTCTCATGTTTAGGTCTTTCTGGGTGAAGATGTACTTTAGGCTTTTATGGTCTGTATAAATCTTGCATTGCACTCCGTATAGGTAGTGCCTCCAAATTTTCAGTGCGAATACGATAGCGGCTAGTTCGAGGTCATGGGTGGGGTAATTTTCTTCATGGGTTTTGAGTTGCCAAGATGCGTACGCTATTACCTTGCCGTTTTGCATTAGCACGCACCCCAACCCCTTTTTGGACGCGTCACTGAAGACCTCGAACCCTTCCACCCCGGAGGGGATGGCTAGTACGGGTGCCGTGGTTAGTTTGTCCTTCAATTCCTGAAAGGCCGTGATGCAGTTGTCGTCCCATCGAAAGGGGGTCTCCTTTTTCATGAGTTTGATGAGAGGTTGAGCTATCTTAGTAAAGTCGGGTACAAACCTCCTGTAGTAACCAGCCAAGCCTAGGAAGCTTCGGACCTCTGACAGTGAGCTTGGTGTGGTCCATTCCTTAACGGCATGGACCTTGGCGGGGTCTACCTTAATTCCTTCTTTGGTTATCACGTGGCCCAGGAAGGCCACGATGTCTCTCCAGAATTCGCATTTGGAGAACTTGGCGTATAGTTGGTGTTCTCTTAGAGTTTGCAAGGTTATGCGGAGGTGCCTTTCATGTTCTTCCTTGTTTCGGGAGTAGACTAGGATGTCGTCAATGAATACAATGACGAAGTCATCCAGGTGGCACTAGTACAAAAATTGGAATAGACGCCCACTTTACAAGACACCTACACAATGAAGGTGCCTCATAAAAGAAATTGTAAAACTTTACGTGTCACCAATCAAGTAAAGGTGCCTCGGAAATAATATTATTAAAATAATAATAGGAGAATCCGAGACACCAACTGAAAAGAGGTGCCGCGGATATTAAATTAATAAAATAATAATATGGGTATCCACGGCACCTTCTGTAGTAGGTGTCGCGAATATTTTATTATTAAAATAATAAAAATTGAATCCGCGGCACCCTTCAAAAGACAGTGCCTCGTTTTTATTTTTGTATTTATTTTATTTTTTTTTGTTCTTTCTTGTAGACGACCCAAATCTCCCAAATCTCACAATCCCCAAGTTAGACAAACATCTCCGCTCCTCCGCCTCCGTCCATCGCGTCTCCACCGTCCGCTCCAACCGCCTCTCGTCGCCTCCTCGCCAACAGCCACTGCAACGCCGTCCGTCAGCCACACCGCCGACGCAGCCACCATTGCCGGCGACTGAAGGTAATTTTGATTTAAAGTTAAAATAGCTTTCTGCACCTTTGGTTCACTGCTTGCTTGCTTGCTTCACTTCGCTCTTGATGATGCATGAAACCCATTGTCAATGGAGAGAGAGAGATAGATACTCGTGGGTAGAGAAAGACAAAAAGAAACATGTATTCTTCCTCCTAAAGATCTGAGTCCATTTGGTCATTAAAAAACCTAACACCTTTTTTGAACTTTGATAGTTTTCTCCTTGTTACTAATATGCAAGTGCGGTTCTGGACCTATTTCTCCCTATTGTGATCATATTTTGCATCTTACTCTGGAATTTCTCAGTTATGATCCCAATTTCACTGATAATATGGAAGAAGTTACTGATGATGAAATTCAGGAGGAAGAGGAGGATGAGTAAGCCATTTCTTATTAATTGGAGCTTGCTAAGCCCTGATATTGTTAGTTAGTCTTGATAGTTTATGTTGAATGTATGATCCTTCATTGAATTGTAGTGAGAGTGCTGATGAATACACAGACGATGAAGATGTCAGTTGGAAGGTTAGAAGAGCTGCTGGCCTGCTGCTAAATGCTTGGCAGCACTGATCGTTTCTCGTCTTGAAATGATTTCCAAGCTATATGAGGAGGTACATTCTGAACTGCTTCTATAGCTTTTGTTTGTCTTCTTGAAAGAAGGTAATTTTGTTAACTGTAAGTAAACATATCTAACTGCCTAACTTTATTTTTGTTTAATTAGGCTTGCCCAAAGTTAATTGACAGGTTTAAAGAAAGGGAAGAAAATGTCAAAGTGAAATTGAGCATTTTACTGATTTCTTTGATGGTTTATTCTCGGCTTTCTGAGTAGTTATTCTGCATATGTTTATGTTCAATACATTCATTGAGTTGCTGCGGCAAACGGGAAATGTAACAAAGGGACAGACAGACTTCAACCAATCCAGGCAAGATTATCTCCACCTCTGGCCTCAATGAATAAAATTCCTTAGACTTGAGTTATGATCTTCTTTTCATTGTAATTATATATCTATGTTTCTACCTGCATATGTACTAAGCTGACAATCTCTAGTGGCTCCAACTCATAAAACTGCTGACATTTACACAAACAGTCTTTTACATTTTTTAGGGAAAAGGCTTTCCTGAATGCATAGTTTTCTCAGTACAACTTCCAGTAATGATGACACTGGTTAAATGAATAATCATTGAATAATTTCTCTTCGGCTTGTCATGCAGTCCCAGATGGTTGTTGAACCAAGAGGTACCCAAAATTGTTAGATCTGTAAATAAGCAGCTACGGGAGAAATTTGTGAAAACAAAGGTATGTGTTCTTACTAATTTATACTCCATATTGTTTTTTCTTTGCTACTGGCCTTCATCAATTGCTTATTCCATTCTTCCTGCAGGTTGGTGCATTTTCAGTTTGAAAGAACTGGTGATTGTGCTGCCTGATTGCCTTGCAGAGCCTATTGGATCACTCATACCTGGGATTGAAAAGGCATTATGTGTAAGTTGTATGCTTGAGGGGTTTGTACCTAGTCTTTTGCTCTCCCTTCTTATTTGTTTGTTTATTTTTATTTTAACTATTTTCATTTTTTCATTACTGTATCACGACAAGTCATCTACCTCAAACTTAAAGACTGAAGCTCTTATATTCACAAGATTAGTATTTGCTTCACATAGTCCTCCTATTTTCCATCCACACATTAAGGTAATGACTTGGTATTGGTATTACTTATAGACTTCATATGTTCTTCGAGGAAACTGAATTTGCATTTGTTAAATTCTCTGCATCAATATGATCTCATCTATGCGTATAAAGTTTTAGAACATAGCCTAAGTTATGAGACCCTTGATATTTATTTTTATGAAGTGTGATTTAAATATACTTATGGTTAATACTCATTATATAGAGTTAAGAGAAAGTATCTTGAATGGTGAAAGCTTGAGAAAAAATGTTTCATTACTCTATTGTTTGCAATAGAAAGTTGATTATTTGTGTTACAAAATAATACAATACAAAGGTTATCATAATTGATTCCTGGTTATAAATACTTATCAAGGATGAATTAGCGAACAAGGTATTTTCTCTTTAAACTTCCCTGGGTAACATAGCGAACAAGGTATTTTCACTTATTTTTGCCACATTCTGTGCTTCTGCTTCCTAACAGATCAGGGACTCATCATATGGCCTCCTAAACTCAAATTAGACCCTACAGATTCTGCAGGTGCACAGCTTCAATTCCAGCTTCAATAATGCTACCAATCCTACCATAGATCACGAATAATGCTACAGATTCTGCAGGTGCACAGCTTCAATTAGACCCTCCTTATACCTCCACGTTCCATGAATCAACATATATTAAATTGCTCTTCATCAAACTCCCAGAGCAACCAGAACAGTCCTCAGGTTTCTAGCTCCAGACATCCACCTCAACCAAAACTTTTTCTTTGTAGCTCTACTTAAGATGTCATCTCCCAAGGAGGGATCCATCCTAAGGCAGCATTAAACTCCACTTTAAAAGCTTCACTTAGATGCTGCAAAGATGTCTTTCAACACCTACCTCTGACCTCGTACAATCTTCATCAGAAATGAATCTCATATTTTTGCTTCTGCTTCTGTTACTCAGTAGGTCAGAGGATTGAGTTGATGACAGATTTGGTTAGTATTGGTTTGCACTAAGGCAATGTCGCATTATGGATTAGTTAGTGGTTTGTATAGGCATTATGCCCTTGTGGGGTGACCACTTTTGGGTCACATGTAAAACATTGTTTTGGTGGCAATGAATAACTGCTTAAAAAAACATTTCTTTATTAAACTTTTCCTTTTTGCTGTAATTTTTTCTTTTATATATATATATATATATATATATATATATATATATATATATATATATATATATATATATATATATGTGTGTGTGTGTGTGTGTGTGTGTGTGTGTATTCAAATGAGGACAAGTATATTATAGAGGATTGTGAGGACAGATGTAGTCTGTGCCATTAGCTGGTATGTCGTGTGCATGACCGCATGCAGTCGTGTGCCACAGTTTGTATGTCGCGTGCTAGATTTGTTAATTTATAGAGCCTGGGTTCGAAACCTGATGTTTACATTTATTCTTGTGTGCCATTATGTATTAAGTTGTATGCCTGGTATTAATTTGTTGTGTGCCTATTATTTGTCCTCACAGTCCTCTATATATTGTTGTCCTCATTTGAACTCAACCATATATATATATATATATATATATATATATATATATATATATATATATATATATATATATATATATATATATATATATATATATATAATTTTTTTTTTTAAATGGTAGCTTTCCGAGGCACCCACTTGTAAGTGGGTGTCTTGGAAACAAATTAATAAAATAATAATAAAAGACTATTCGAGGCACCTGCAGCGGAGCAGGTGCCTCGGAAAGTCCGTATTAAAAAATTAAAAAAATCATTTTCCGCTTTCCAAGTCATCCTTTACGAAAGCGGGGGAGAATCACAGTCTCCAAGATCCGAGTCACCTGTACAGGTGACTCGGAAAGTGTTTTATGGGTGACTCTAAAAGCTTTTTTTGTACTAGTGTGGGGTCGGAATACTCGGTTCATGAGGTCCATGAATATGGCGGGTGCGTTGGTGAGTCCGAAGGGCATTACTATAAATTCGTAGTGGCCGTAACGTGTCCGGAAGGCCGTTTTCTGAATGTCTGGTTTGGCCACTTGTATTTGGTGATATCCGAATCTTAGGTCAATTTTCGAGAACACCCCTGCCCCCTTAAGTTGGTCGAACAAGTCATCTATCCGGGGAAGGGGGTACCTATTCTTTATTGTGACTTGGTTAAGTTCCCTGTAGTCGATGCACAGGCGCATGCTCCCATCTTTTTTTTAACGAATAGTACTGGTGCTCCCCATGGGGAGGTGCTGGGACGGATGTAACCTTTATCTAGCAATTCCTGGAGTTGTGTTTTCAGTTCCTTCATTTCTTTTGGTGCTAGCCTGTATGGTGGTTTAGAGATCGGGGCAGCGCCAGGTACGAGGTCTATGGTGAACTCGACTTCCCTGGCTGGGGGTGCCCCAGGGATTTCATCTGGAAAGATGTCGGTGAATTTGTTTACCACTGGGATGGTTTGTGGTTCGGGTGTTTTGGTGTTGAGGTATTCGACCGAGCATAGGAAGGCCTCGCTTCCTTGGTTTAGGTACTTCTTCATTTTCATCATGTTTACAAGTTTGATCCCCGGATCCTGGCGGGTCCCGCGGTATGACACTCTTTTACCGTTTGGTCCCCGTAGGACCACTTTTTGTTCTCCGCATAGGATTTGTGCTTGGAATTTCCCTAGCCAGTCCATGCCCAAGATCACTTGTACCCCATCCAGTCCGAATTGTATTAAGTTGCTGGGAAATTCCACTCCTTGGATGGTGATCATTACGTTCTCGTACATGCGGTCGCATTTTATGATCTCGCCAGAGGCCACCTTGACCTGGAGTCGGACCTTGGTGCTGGCGTTAAGGCCGAGTTGAGTGGCAAACCCGGTTGCTATAAATGAGTTGGTAGCCCCTGAATCAAATAGTATAGTGGCGGGGGTGGCGTGTACTAGGAAGGTTCCGGAGACTATGTTGCTGTCTCCGATCCTGGACTTGCTTAGGGTAAGGATTCTTCCTTGGGTAGTCGGTGTTGTGACCTTGTGAGGTGAGACGGTCTTGGGGTTTTTAGGCCCTCAGGTGGGATTTGTCTGATTCCCCTCAGGTTTCCTTTTGTATCCCAGGTGTGTCTCCCGGGGTTGGTTTGTTACTTGTTGTAGTTGGGATGCCTTGGCATAGGCTTCCCCGAGGGTCCTTGGTTCTTGTGTGGCCAGGGCTTTCTGGTGTTCGGGATCAAGGCCTGTTATGAACTTCTTGACCTTGATCGTCTCGGTGGGTACTAGCTCGGGGATGAGGCGAGCCAGTCTACGGAATGGCTGGTAGTATTCCGTGATCGGGGCTGCCCCTTATTTTAGGTGGAAGAACTCTTCGTATATGGTGGCTTTTAGATGGTTGGGATAGAATTGCTCTCGCAGCCGTGTTTTTAGGGTTTCCCAGTTGAATTCGGGGCTTTGTTCGTATGTGGGTCTCTCGTGAGCCCACCAGGTGTCGGCTTCGTGTCTGAGGTACAAGGAGGCTATTCTTACTTGGTGGTTCCCTGGGCATTTGGTTGCCCCGAATATCTTGTCAAAAGTCCCGATCCATTCCTCGAGGATCGTGGGGTCTTCGTTCCCTGAGAAGGTGGGTGGTTGGTGTGCCGAGACTTGGTGGTGGATTTCCAAGTTCTCGTTTGTTGGTAAAGGTTGGGGAACGGTAGTACTCAGTGCCTGGGCAATTTGGGCCAGGCGTTGTAGATTCTGAGTCAAGAATTCCTAAGTGGGGAGTTTCGGTGTTCCTACTTGTCTCCTTTTCGGTGCCATCCTGGTGTTCATAGGTCGATGTTATTTTGCATTCTTACCTTGATGCGATAAGCGGAGGGGGAGTTTTCTTTAAGTAAGTGAGGGAGGGTTATGTGTAGGTTTCACAGTCTCACCGCGCGTCCTAAGATTCCTGAGTCCTATGTCCCTAAGTACCTAGAGTTCAAGCCTAATGTCCTAAAGTTTAGTCTTAAAAGTCTTATCCTAGGGTCAAACTTAGGCTCTGATACCAACTGTAACACCCCGAAATTTTTAAACTTTTGAATCTTATATAATAAAGGTAAATTCTCATTAAATCCCAAAACATAATATAAAGAGTACGGGGAGCTATGCCACACCTGAGCTAGAGAACTCAGGTGCACAGGCTAACTAACTAATATCATCAATAATGTAAATACATAAGCATGGCACGCAGACCGAAAGGGAAACTATCTACTTCTACGCTCCAAGACTCTAGCGCGCTCCAGTGACTACTCATCCGTGCCTGAAAGCCAAATATATCTGTTCAGCGAGAGATGCTGGTAACCCACTCCAACGGGTTGAAATACAATACATATAGATATATACATAGATATACGAAAAACCATTTCGAAGCATGAAGATATATCCTAAGAGACTCTAGCTTTCAAAACAGGGAATAGACTCGACAGATAGGGATAAGCACAGTCAACAGTCATAATCAAGCATATACAATTCACAAGCGAAGGGAACAGATTCGACAGGTAGAGATAAGCACAGCCAATAGTCACAACCAAGCATATACAGTTTACTAGCATGTATCCTATGGTCACGCTTTCATAACTATCATAACATCCAACTATCCATATCTCATCACATAGCACACTTTGTTGGCGCCACAGGACCAATCGCATGCCCATACATGAGGGTCAGCGCATATAGCTCTGACACGGCCCCGCAGCACCCTGCCCCGTATCGCAACACGGAGGGGTCGATCGCAACCGACCGATGAACCGCAGCTCATCATAATGTTTGATCGCAACCAAACAGTGGACCGCAGCCCAAGAGTAGTCATCTGACCGCAGCCAGGAATATGAACCGCAGCTCATGTAAAACGTTTGATCGCAACCAAATGGTGGACCGCAGCCCGAGAGTATAAATCTGACTGCAGCCAGCTTCTGAACCGCAGCTCAGGAATAACCAATTCGATCGCAACCGAATTGGGGTATCATGCACACATAACACATAGCAAGCACACGCAGCCCATATTAGCGCATTGGGAAGGGGGAGAAATCGTATAACGAAACCTATGCGTGGTCATCCACATGCTAAGAATAATCCTAAGGGGTTCATGCTTCCTTCGCCTAGGTCAATGGGATACCAATTGAACTAACATGCAATATATAAGACTCGTTTATCCTACGAACGGCATCCGAAACATCAACTAGACATAGGCACGATAGACGGGGTCCGTTGGGACACCACGGGGGTCGGGGGAACATCAAACGGGGAAGCCGGAATCCCGAGGTGGGATAAATTCCAGCGGGTAGCCGGTGGGTGGGGGGTCACCCGCCGGTGACGTGATTCTGGGCAGCGGGTGCCCGGCGGGCAGTCACCTGCCCGCCGGCTGCCCGCTGCCGGCGATGTCCGAACTTGGCCGCGGGTAGGTGGCGGGTCCCCTACCCCCACCTACCCCCCACTGACTCTTTTTCACAAATAACGCCCCGGGAACCTTTGTGGAACCTGAAATCATGCTTAAACACTTTTTAACGCAATTGATGACAACATGTAGACAATTAACGGATCAAAAGCGAGAAACATACGGCACATATCCTATCATGCTTTACTAAACATAATTAACACCCGATCATGCGAATTCCCACCCAATACATTAAGAATAACACCATACGAGTTTCACGTTACATCCTAGGGCTCTAATCACAATTAAATCATCAAGAATGTAACCTATCTTTCAATATCAAGAAATATCAAGATTCATCAAGAACATCACACAATCATCAAGAAACCCTTATCATCATCAAGATTATCAAGATAAAACCCTATCACCAAACCTCAAGATCATATCATCAATATCATAACAATTCATCAAGACACAAGAATATAGGAGGATGCCTAAGAGAGAGATCATAGCTAGGAAAATAGGTTTTGTTGAGACATGGGTTAACTCTTAGCCTTAATTAATTCCTTGGCTATGAAGGGTCTTTCTTTAAGCTTTCTTCTTTCTTGATTTCTCCTAAGGGATTTCTTGGAACTTCTTGTGTGGTGAGAGATTATTGTGGTGGGGGTTTTAGGTGCCTCTTATGTCCCCTATTTATATACCTAGGAGTCCTAATTAGGATCTAAATACTATAGGCTTGCTAATTCTATTCCCTTTAGGGCTAGGGGTTGGGTTTTAGG